TGGCTCACTGCTCTTTCTATGCTTGAATGTGCTTCCATCTTTCCTTCTTCAAGACCCAGCTTCTTAAACACCTGCTCAGATAGGAGCTTCAATGATATGCAAAGGCATCAGTGACATCTGTCCAAGGTCCTTTCTTTTATTTTCTTTTCATCATTTTTTGTTTAAATCCATTATCCTATAAACTCCAAGAGGACAGGAAAAGGGTCTTCTGACCCACCCTTGTGATGCCTCTGCCAGCAGTAACTATTTATTAAATAAATGAAAATATGATTTTTCAGTTCTGGAGACATGTTTTTGCATTTCGTTTGACAGAGTCACAAGTGTAAAAGGCTGATTTAATTAGTTTACTATAGTATCTCTCTCTTTCAGAATAGCTGACTGGCTGGATTTGAGATGGATAGCAATATTTTTCAGTATTAGATGAAAGGCTATTTAATACAAATTTATATGTAATTAGTACAATTTATTAATTTATTTGATTTTGGTAATATGTAAGTAAATGCTATATATCCAGTAAAACTATGAGATTAACAAAGTGGCTATGAGTTTATATAATTTCTTTTTAACCAGAAGAATTGTCTCCTTTAAGATGCTTGGATGAGACATAGGCCAAAGAGGAGACAATATCTGGCTCCTTATCTTCCAGAATTCCCGATAGTTGGTTTTTAAGGAAAACTGGCATGTTCTTCATGTAAATGCCGTAAAGCTGTTTCATCTGTGGACTCTTCCTCCCTTCCTTCAGACAGGAAATCAAATGAGCCTGGATAGCATTGAGACTTCATAAGTGGCCTCTTACCTTGCTGTTACTTGTGACCCTTGGAAGAGACCTGGGCCATTGCTATGTTTGCAAAACCAGTGCTACTCAAAACACACTGCATTCCAACCACAAACATGGTAAGGCATGTCCTGTGCATTTGATGTTCTTCCAGGCCTTGGTGTCTTTGCATGTGACATTTCCCCTATCTGAGCTGCTTCCCCGCGTCTTCTTTTCCCTGTTATAACCTGGTGAATCACGACTTTTATTGTAGCCCTAAAAATCAAACATCTTCTTGTTTGAGAAAACTTCCTGCCTTTTCTTTTTTTTTTTTTTTTAAATTTATTTTATTGCATTTTAGGTTTTGGAGTACATGTGAAGAACATGCAAGATTGTTGCATAGGTATACACGTGGCAGTGTGATTTGCTGCCTTCCTCATCACCTACATCTGGCATCTCTCCCCTTACTATCTCTCCCCAACTCCCCATCCCCCAACGTCCCTCCCCTATTTCCCCCCAACAGACCCCAGTGTGTAGTGCTCCCCTCCCTGTGTCCATGTGTTCTCATTGTTCAACACCCGCCTATTAGTGAGAATATGCGGTGTTTGATCTTCTGCTCTTCTGTCAGTTTGCTGAGAATGATGGTCTCCAGGTTCATCCATGTCCCTACAAAGGACATAAACTCATCGTTTTTGATGGCTGCATAATATTCCATGGTGTATATGTGCCACATAGCTGGTTACTTCTTTCCTACTTGGTTTCATGCCCATACCCCATTTTAACACATGTCATGTGATCTTTCTCTAATTTTTGTTTGTTTTGGAGTATTTGTTTTACACATAAGCCAGGAGTTCATTGAAGGTGAGAACTGTATCTTACACTTGTAAATCTAGGGCTTTCTTTACATCCTTCCCTTCTGAACTTCCTCCCCTGATCTGCCTTGCAGAGTCTTGGACTCTGCAGATGCTCCATCAATTTTGGTTAAATGAATGATTGAATAAATACGTGAGGAGTGAAGAAAACTATACTGATAATTGGTCCTGAAAGGTTTGGGAGAATAAAGACAACCTCTAAACTCTGGGAAGGGGGTCAATGAATGAAAGATAAGGAAGGCTCCAAATTTTAGGGGCTCGTTTTCTTGGGCATAGCACTAATTGGTTTCAATGGACTTATCAGACCTTTCATGTAATTTTTTCCTTCCTGTCTATTTATTATTACTGTATTCAGAAGGGGCTCAAGATAAGTAGACAGTGTGGACAATTACTAGTACGACATCCTCCCCACTTCCCAGCAAGTGGTGATCATGAACCGTTTTATCCAGCATTTTATTTCTATAAGTAAAATAAGCTTTACCTCTGCTTCAAAATAAAATCAGGTTTAATACACTGGTGCATCACGATAAATATTAAAGAGCATGGTATCTATCTTACAGTATGGAAAGTGGTGATTTTTGATCCTTGTTTCATTTTATCTGTTCTCAGCCTCTGTATATTACTGAGCTGTAGGCAAACAGTCTGGTAAGATTCTGAGTACTTTCTAAAATACTCAAAGCAACCAATTAAGAAAGATGCTATTAAATCCCATTTTTACAGAGGAATAAACAGAGGCTCAGAGAGGTTAAGTAACTTACCCAAAGGGCACATAGCTGTTAAGGGGCAAAGCTGATAATAGAGTCCATTAGAGTCTGGGTTGAGTCTGTGCTTTTAACTACCATGATAAACCGTCTCTTCTTCAGAAGTTGATCCTGTACTGTGTGAAGGAAAATTTATTTACAGGGATGAAAGCTGGGCAGCTGGTTCAAAGGATCCCTTGGAACTACTCCATAGAAGGATAAAGAGTACAGACAAACAATAAGTTCACTTGTAGTTTTAGACTCTGGTAAACTTTTGGATGCTCCTGCAATTTCATACTTCAAATGAAATAACTGAATATTTCCTGAAGTAAGTAACCAGCTCTGCACCTTGGCAGAAATCTCTGACTCCACTTAACTCATGCAAAGGGCTATGGCATACAGCCTAAGTGCCCAGGAATTTTAAATCAAGATGTATCTATATAGTGAAACTATTTTAGTGTGTGTGTGTGTGTGTGTGATTGTTTTATCCTTTTCTTCCTGCTTGGAAAAAAATTAAATATTTAAAATTATCTACAAATTGTATTTTTTCCCTAGAAAGCTAGGGTCACAAAGATAAATGTTAGCTGTCAGAAGAGCTGCAAATCATCTAAGATGAAGGTGGTGCTTTTTTATTATGGTATCTGAGAAGAAACGCTTTCAGAGTGAAATTCAGTAAACCCTCATTTCTGATTCCATGTCTACTGAGATGTTCAAATTTGAGTGCAGCCCTTGGTAAAGCACTGATTGCTGAAAGGTAGCTCTGTCCCATGGGACGACCTGGAATGAGATCTAGTAGAAATTTTCATTCAGGTTGAATGGAAAACAGAAAAGCGAGTGTTCTATGGAAAGCAGAAGTCTGGCAACAATGGATGTGCACTGTGAGTGAAAGTCTGGGAATGTGTATCCTTCCCACAGTTGGTTTATTAAGAAATTCTGCAAGTTAGTGTCAGTACCTCCTGTTTGAATATAGGTGTAAATTCCTAGAGAGTCCACAATTCAACTATCAGTGGAAATCCTGATACCCACCAAATGATGTTTTTAAAACATCTATGTCTCCATCAATCTAATAATGTTCTAAGAGATAGCAGTGTGTCTATTATATTGAGTAGAATATTATTGTTTTTCTTTTCTTTTCTTTCTTTTTTTTTTTTTTTGTGTGTCACCCTTGCTTTTTTACCGAGGCACAATCTTGGCTCACTGCAACCTCTGCTTCCTGGGTTCAAGTGATGGTCCTGTCCCAGCCTCTCAAGTAGCTGGGATTACAGGCATGCATTACCACACCTAGCTAATTTTTGTATGTTTAGTAGAGACGGGATTTCACCATGTTGGCCAGGCTGGTCTCCAGCTCCTGACCTCAGGTGATCTGCCCGCCTCGGCCTTTCAAAGTGTTGACATTACAGGCATAAGCCACCACACATGACCTGTTTTTCTTTAATTTATAAATTTAGATATTTCTGAAGACATTACTTTACAGAGAAGTCTTATCTTTCTTCTTGGAATATGCCTGCATAAATCTATGGCAGGAAGTGCACACATTTCCAACAGGATTCCTTTAATAATGCTCTCTCATTTTACAAGATTCCCTGACACCATAGGACGGCTGGATGAATTATTCTCCAGATGTATCCTAATTGCCCATAGTCATAGCTCTTAAATATTTTTGAAATTACTTTTAATAGAAATTTGTAAGATTATCAGATTCGGTATTTTACTGATGGACAAAATTGTACCTGACCTGTCTTAAAAGTGCCACTTTTTATTTTTTAAAAACAATAGAAAATGAAAGGCATTCATTTTATAACTCCCTAGTGTGGATCCCTCTCCTGCTAACAAACTAAAATTTTCAGGAAGCTTGAATTCTTCCAATTCCATTTTTCTCTCATTCTGTTTTCGGTGGCAATGAAGAACAGCTGGCCACCATTCTCTGCAGTAATAACCTTCATATAGTTGAAACCCAAACGGTTTTGGACATGGTGCTTACAAAAACATCTTTTTGCAAATGATGTAGCCTATTTGGTATTTCCCCTGTAAATAGCTAGATTCCTTATAGCCAACCCTTCCAGCAACTATCAAATTTTAGTTCTGTTTAGTATAATGCAAGCATTTTCTGCTTTGTCTATTCAGGAATGACTTCCTAGGAGGTTTCACAATAAAATTTATTGTGTTTAATTTATGACGTACAATGTAAGAAGAATGGAATGCTTTTCTGTTAGGATTTGCATTGATAATGAAAGGTTACCATAATGCTGTTCTGCTTTGACCAAATTTATCAAATTCTGAAGGGAATGCCAATTAGAAGGCTATAATGCTTTTCACTGAAACAGATTGAGGCTGGTACCTCGTGGTGGGGACCTGTCGCTGTTGGCTGAACTCTATTTTTAATTGGGAGACAAGGCAAATGCTAGATCAAAAACAGTGTTTACTAAGTGATACCAGTCATTCCAAGTCATAGCCACACCCCAAGAAAACTGAGGAAGTGACTCAGTCCTTCTGAGGTCGTCTTTTCTATTCGTAGCAATGTAGCCAAATGTCTGAAAACGCTTGCATTTTGCTCTCTTTAGGAAAAGACAACATTGATTTTAGAGGTTTCTGCTATGGAGGCCAGGGGGATTTTTCCACTGCAGGACAGAGAAAGCTGGGTTTGGATTGGGAAGCCAGACATTTCTTGGCATACATTTCCTACTTGAATGGAATTCCAGTTTACCCCCTCCTCACCTCTCCCCAGCCCCCAGGCAGCTAGAGGCCCCACCTCCTTGCTTGGACCATATGGGGAAGCTGGCTCAGTGGCTGTTATTCTACTGACTCCAAGTTCACGCAGCTGTTCATCCCCTGCTTAATGTACCGGTAATTACAGCAATGTGCTCTTCTCTTTCCAATCATGTAACTTTTACTAATGGAAAATGATTTGTTTTTAACAACTTCCATGCATTTCTTTATCTTTTTAATAAGAAAGCGTGTCTTGTGGCATTGAGCGATTGAATTCTCTGTAAAAAACAAACGTCTCTGTTTCCAGCTCCATAGGAGGGCTCTATGGGATTGGCCAAAGGTGGTGGGGAGACTTAAGTGGGTGTAACTAACTTGATATGAATAGGTCAGTTAGGAAACAAAGCAAGCTCATCGCCTTCTACACATGGAGGTGGTAAAAAAAACCATTTTTTTTTTAATGTGAAACTGGGAAGAATCAAAAGCATAAATTGAGCTCTGCTTTCATGATCCAAACTCTATGTACTCTCAAAGGATTTTTAAAACATATACCTGAAGAGGTTTCACTTATTTTCATTCAGTCTTTCAGAGCATGTAAATTTTCTCCTTTGATGGGAAATGTTGATGGTTGGGTTGGGTGGGGGATGAATTGATTAAAACAAATGCATGTTCTGCTGTAGCCATGCTAAGCTACCGGACACAGATCAAACAGGCATGTGTTCACATGATCATTTTATTTGTAGATAAAATATAGACACCTTGGAATTTCCATCCTTATGTCCCCTAAATGGCACTGGAAATCACTCTGAAAGGATCATTTTTAAAACAAAACTTTTCCAACTCGTAAGAAGATTTCAGTTTTAGCCTTTTATTTTAAATTAATGGTTTAGTAGCAGTTGTAACAAAGAATGCCAAGCGAAATCTTTGTGTGGATGGAAATACTACTACACAACACTCATAGCTAATTTTATCAGAAGGATGATAGCAAAAGGAATGTCTTCTTGACATGAAAACTCAAAAGTCAAGGGCATTGACAAGATGGCAAACCATGATTGTGAAGTGGATTTGCCACATCTTGACATTTTAAAGATTCATATAATTAATATTTAGCTGAAATTATAAAATATGTATCCTGAGCTCAAAATTCTTTGATGTTAACATGTATCCATATCTGTTAATAACACTAGTTTTATTCCTTGTGCATTACCTTTCTACAATTCGTGGTTAATAATGACATGGTGGGCAGAAATCACCTGTCTTCTCCTCAGCCCTTCTTATCTAGCTCCCTCCAGAAGTCTTGTTTTTTCTTAGAGATTTTTTTTTTGGAAATGTTATTAGGCTAGAGTGAAGTCAGTTTTAAAAACACACATTTAGGCTGGCACGGTGGCTCATGCTTATAATCCCAGCACTTTGGGAGGCTGAGGTGGGTGGATCATGAGGTCGGGTGTTTGAGACCAGCGTTGCCAACATGGTGAAACCCCATCTCTACAAAAAATACAAAAATTATGGTGGCGCACACCTGTAGTCCCAGCTACTCGGGAGGCTGAGGCAGAAGAGTCGCTTGAACCCAGGAAGTGGAGGTTGCAGTGAACTGAGACTGTGCCACTGCATGCCAGCCTGGGTGGCAGGGCGAGGCTCCATCTCAAACAAACAAACAAATAAACCACATTTCAACTTAGAACCGAATAATTTTTAAATGTTTGTAATGAATTTGGCAAAACGGTTGCTTTCCTCAAGAGCCACAAGACCACACCAGCAGCAAAGAGACACTATTGTTCTTCTGAAATCTTGAGAAGCTCCTTGTGTGATAAACTCCAGCAAAAGGGGTCTGTGCTTCACTCCTCTATAAATGTAACACACAAATCTAGATCTGATTTTGCCCTCTAGGAAATCACTGTGTCTTGCTTTTGCAAAGCAAAAATTATGTTTACTATTTTCAAACTAGCTTTGGGAATTAGGATCTTCAGAATTAGTAGTCCGACTCTAGTCATGTGCATGGCTTACATTGTCTTCTATTTCTTCAGATGGTTGCATCAGTAGCTTTGGGAATATTTTATGTTTAAATTTTTAAGTCATTTTGATATCCACTAGGCCATAAAAAATATAAATATGATCTAATGAATACCCAAATAAGTAGTTGTATAATAACAACTACTTATCACATTCACTTTCCTAGTTATTCAGTCATTCAGTAAATATTAATTGAACAACATGTATGTGCCAGGCATATTCTAGGGACCAAAGGTTCAGTAGTGAACACAAAATGTCAGCTTTATAAAGATTGTAGTTCAGTAGGAGGAGACAGACAAATAAACTATATAAGTAAGAAAAGTTAAATAGCAGTGAGATTTAAGAGCAAAAAGCACCGTAAAGGGACAGACTGTGATGAGAGAGTTTCAATTTTACATGGAGTAAAAGAGAAGACCTCAATATGTGACTCTTGAGCACACAAGACAGGAAGTGAGATATAAACTTTGTAGATATTTGAAGGAAAAACTGTCCAAGCAAAGGGTATAGCAAGTGCAAAGGTCCTAGGAGTTGTGAATCTAGCGTGTTCAAGAGGACCAAGGAGGCCAAGTGTGCCCAGAGGGCAGCTATTAGGAGATAAGTTTAGAGAAGTGAAGGAAGCCAGATCTTACAAAGCCATAGTTTATTATAAGGACTTCAGCTTTAAGTTCGAGGTAGGGGAAGCTGCTGGAAAGGGTTGCACAGAAAAATGACAGAATCCCACATACCTTTTAACAAGATAATTCTAGCTGTTACGTTGAGAGATGATTCAAGGGCAGCAAAGCAAGAAGCAGGGAGACAGGTTAGAAGGCTCTTATAATAAGCCAGGCAAAAGGGGAAATGTGGAGAGAGTAGATATAAATGGAATTCCCACTATGTAGCAGGCACTACGTTAGGCTTTGTGGATACAGTGGGGGGAAAACAGACTCTGTTCCCATGGGCTTTGCATTCTACTGAGAGGAGCTAGATAATCAACAAATAAGCCAGTGTATACATAAAATATCAGGTGATGATAAGTTATAGCTAGAGAAACCCTAACATGTTCCAAAGTTCATGATGCCAAACACCTAGAAACAAACACGGTCCTATGTAGTGGGGGCTGGAGAACCAAGGTGTGGCATATTCGAACAGAGACTATTATATAGCAATGAAAATGAATGATTATAACTACATGCAACATTGCAGATGGATCCTAGCAATATAATAGGAATAAAAAATATGTTATTTTATATTGAAAACATTACATTTTTCATAAAGCCAAGCACATACAACCCAAACATAATACTTTTAAAGAAAGACAAATGGATGTGTTAACATATATCAAATAAAATCAAGAACATTGTTCTTGAGGTAGTAGTTGTCTTGAATGAGGAGTGGCAAGGAAATTCTTGGGGTAGTCACATGGGTTTCTGTGAGTGTTCTAGCTTCATGTTGGATGTTGGATCATTGGATTTAATTATATTATTTGCAGGAAGGGAGGGAGAGAAGGAAGGAAGGAAGGAAAGAAGGAAGGAAGGAGGGAGGGAGGGAGGGAAGGAAGGAAGGAAGAAAGGAAAGGTGGACATTTTACAGGGTTAACATTGACTATATGACATGAACCATGGATTGTAATTCATCTAACTGTGTTTCCCTGTGGTGCAGGGCTGGGGAAAGTTATGGGGTGGTTGCTTGGTGGTGGTGGTTGGTTTTTTTTTTTTTTTTTTTTTTTTTTGTAAATAAATTTGCCAGGGAAATCCTCTCTATGGAAATTACGTTTGAGCAGAAGCATGAATGGATCGAAGAAGTGGTCAGAGGAACAAGGAGAAACTCCTGGCTAGGGTGGAGTGAGCAAAAAGACAGCAGCAGGAGGTGAGGTCAGTGAGGAGCAGGAACAGGTCATCTTGGCTTTCATAACCTGTGAGAAACTCTGACTTATACTCCAGTAGAAACTGAAAACTGGGAGGTTCTAGGCAAAGGAGTAACGTGATCTACTGTACATTTTAAAAGGATTGTTCCTGCTGCAGTGTAGGAATATACTGGGGTTTCTCTGTACAACTGACACTCTGGACTTGATGATTCCTTGTTGTAACAGATTATTCTCTGCATTGTAGGATGTTTACCAGCACCCCTGGCTTCTCCCTAATAAAACTAAAACATCACCCCCTACCCCGGAGTTACGACAGCCAAAATTGTCTCCAGACATTGCCAAATTGGTGGCAAAGTCATTTGGTTGAGCACTACTAGAATGTGCTGAAGGTGGCAAAAGACAGAATCAGGGAGTGGGGAAGGAGGATGTTGTTGGGTTCACCAGAAGCAATGGCTGGGACTAGGGCAGAAATGCTCCCTTTTCTAAACACACGTATTCACAGCTTGGGTCTGTAACCATGTGGCTGGAATCTCAACAATGTGAGGATATTCAGAAATTCCCAAAGATGTGATGCCAAATATTCATTTACACTCAATTATTTCCCAAGTGCTATAGATTGGGGTACGTTTGAGCATGAAATCAACCACATGGTCATTCTCTAAGGACTCGGTCCAAATTGTCCACTTCTTTTCCTCTTGGCTTTGTCCAGATGGACAACTCATTCTTTGATTTGCATCCAGGTGAGTTCCTTGAAGCCCTGAACTGAGCACTTCTTGTGTGCATGAACATTTGTTATATCTGAAGATATTCTGATTGGCAACATTTTTAACATAACTGTTTAAAGAAAATACCACCAGCACATAACTCATCCATAAAATTGCTGGTTTTGAACAAGACAGAGAAGGCTGTGACTGGGATCATCAGAGAACCAGCCTCCACCCCAAACAAAATAGGGGCAAAGGAGTCAGATGAGAATTTGGTTCAGTATGAGATACTGGGCAACAAGACAGGACCCTTGACCTCAGAAACATAGGAAATCGAGAATACTACAGATCATGAAGTAGCGGAGCCACAGAGCAAAATTTCCAGCACTGATCTTGAGTGCTTTCCCTCGAGGACTCTGTGCTGTTTTCACAAAGGCCTCTCAGAACACTAGGCTTTGAAAGGTAGAAATGTAAACACCGGGACCAGAGTGGCCTTTGGTCTAAGAGTGAGCCACACAGGTTTCTATGTAAATAGTTGCCAGCATTCCAGTAGTGGTACTGGGAAATGGTTTTATGGGAGAAACAAATCACCCGAATGTAGAAAATGCAATTCCACTGAAGCAGATCCAGCTTCCTTCCCTGACTGAGAATGTGGTTAAATACTGATTCAGGAGGAAGATTTGTATCCTCTGCTGCTGAGGGTCCGGCTCTTGCTCATTGCTGGTGTTTACAAGATGACATTCCCTGCCTCCTGTGACATGCTGAGGCAGCCCTGACTTTGGAGATGGGGTGGTGGTGCATGTGAGGGAAAGGGGATAAGTGAGGCTGTGTTTTTATTTGCAGAACTTGGCTGTTCACCTCTCACGTTCACATCTAACACATGAAGCCCACCCCATGCTTGGCTTTTCCAAAACAGTGATTCTAACGCAACACCCTAATGAGCTGTGTTAACTCACCTTTCAGAAGGAGGCTGGGGGGACATACATCACAACAAGGTGAGAGGAAGGGGTGATTGTAACAAGATTAAATGTGATTATCACCAGTAGAAGTTCTATGAGATGAAGTGACTGAATCGCAGCTCACAATGGCATCCGAAGAGAATTAAAAGTGCAATTTTACTTTATTAATTATTCCCTTGTATTTTAAAAGTTGAATCACTGGCAGTAATCTCATCATGGTCTAAATGAAAAATCTAAGAGGCCCATGAATTTGCTACTCACTTTTGGCCCTGTAGTCACTTTGTAATACACAATCTCTATTTAGAACATAGAATGTCCTGTCCAAGATGTTAATCAAAACTCAAGTTTGTTGTGACATCAAATATCACATATTCTCCCTTCTCAGTTTGGACCTGCTTGCTGGAAATCTACAAAGGGAAAGGGCTGGGGGGTGGGGGGGTAGAGCTTGAGAGGCACCTGATTGCCTTTCTATCTTTTACACTGTGATCCTTATCCTTCTTCTAGCAGCTCACCAGACAGTGTCTGTCTTCCAGATCCCGGCAGCGGGGAAACAGAGGAAAAGCCTTTATTTGAACTGGACTTTCCTTATCAGGCCTCACATTTTCAGTGTTTAACAGATGGCTCAGGTTGATGTTTCTGCTCAAGAGTCATTTTCACGGATTTGCAGAAGACCCCACTCCTAGTGCCTTTCACCTGGGCAGATGCGTCTAATTATGGTGGTAGACTGCAAAGCTTTGCAGCTCCCGGGGACATAGCATTCATTCCCATCTTCTCCTGTGGGGATTCCTGACCCATCTAGTTGAATTTCTTAACAGGACGCAAGGGCTCTACCTTAGTTCTCTCTCCCACATAAAACAAGGAAGGGAGACATATTTGCTCTTTTGTTCCAGCCCTCTGAAATGCGGGCAGGCCCTTCCCAGGGCAGTGACCCCTTCTCCTCTACCTGAAGCCACTGTGTCTGTGGCAATCATGAGTCAAACTGAGCCCATATTTCCCACGTATTCCACGGCCCTCTGAATCATTACATGGTCACCCCTCACTAGGCTTGGGTAGAAGGGTTACCACTATCTGTGGAAGAAGAGTGGCACCATAGCCAGTAACAGCTCTCTCCCAAGGCGTCTCTCCACTGTGCTCTCTTTCTCTCTCATCTGTAAAAACTTTTATAGCCTTGAAGGAAAGGAAGAGATATGAGAATTATGGATCAGTTTTTTTTTAACCTTTGTAAAATCTGTTTATAGTAAACTCTCTCATACACATCTTATTATCTGATGTTAATTTTATTGGGACCCCATTCAAAGCTATCTCAGAAAGATCCCCATTTAAGCTTCTCTTAAATTTATAAAATAAAATTGTTTGTAAATTATAAGGAAAAGAAAGTTGATTTTTCTGTATTCTTCTGTGTTTGATCTTTCCACATGATCATGAAAACCACCTCACCCCTCTTAATTTTTAGTTCTTTTGACAGGAAATACGGAAGCTATGGTTCCCAACACAGTAGGTCTGTCCTACCACCATCTTCACCACCTCAAGCAATAGACTTTTCAACCTCTTTTCTCCATTAAACTTCTCTATTACCAGACTCTTGCTAAATTATCTTACTAAAGATAATTTAGAGTGTCTCTCTTGTGCCAAGAATTGTAGAGTTCTGGTGACAGATGATGACAGAGAGATTTTTTTTTTGTCCTGGAAGAATTTATAGTTTATTATAGTTCTTTCCATTGGAATCTGAAACAATATAGAAAAACAATACAATAGTTTTTTTTTCAATGCATTTTCATCAACATGGAAATACATTTGTGTAATAGCTGAGGATTCATACTATATATTATAATGTTGGTCAGAACAACTGAGTCTAGTCACTGAGTTGGGAGGTGCAAGGTGGGGGATGGCAGAATGTGCCCCTTTAGGTCAGAGGTAAGCTACTACCACCAAAAGAAACCTGTTTATCAAAATCCACTAGAATTTTTAATTTTTTTGTGTTTGTATTTTCTTTCAGAGGATAAGGTCAGGGAAATAAGCATTTCTACTCAAATCCCCAAATAGTACTGAAAGAATTCCAAATGAATAGCATTATAATGGTATATTTTAAACATTTTTTCCAAAGAATTGGCATTTACCTTTTAATTCCTTCAATGTTACTCTAAGTTCTAGGGCTAGTAACTCAGAATATTTAACAATCACTGATCCATTCACTATTAAAGAAAATGTTATAAACTCATTTGGACTGAGGTGTTAATTGTTATTTTTAAGGTTAATGGTTATTAGTTGTTCCTGACCTTCTAGGATAACATTTGCATTTTATGCTTAAAAAAAAAATCCCAAATGTCCTTAAACCTGAAGGACTTGGTTAGATAAACATTTTAGGGAACCATGGCAAAGCATGCTGTGGCAATTTTTTTGATAGGGTGACTACCAGTACTAGCTGATCCTTCCACTCAAGAAACACACCTAAATCCAGTGTTGGCTCTGGGAATGCTGAGAAAACATTGGCTTTGGGAGTAGGGAGAACATCAGTGGAAAAATTAAAAACAGAAGTGATTTAAAGGACAGGTTTAGGCTTCACCACACTCTGTACCCATTAAACAACTCCCCTTTTTCCCCTACTTCCAGCCCCTGACAACCACCATTTTAGTTTCTATTTTTATGAATTTGACTAATCTAGATAACCTTATGTAATTTGAAATCATACAACATTTACCTTTTTGTGATTGCCTTATTTTTCTTAACGTAATGTCGTGAAGATGTACTCATGTTTAACACATGCCAGAAATTTCCTCCTTGTTCAGGCTGAATGATATTTCATTGTGTACACACCACATTTGGTTTATTCACTCAGCTATGGATAGAAACTTGGGTTGCTTTTACTTTTCATTATTGTAGACAGTGCTGCCATGAACATGGGTATGCATATATCTCTTCAAGATCCTGCTTTTGATTCTTTTGGATAAATACACAGAAGAGAGATTGCTGGATCATATGACAATTCTACTTCTAATTTTTTGAGGAACTTCCATACTGTTTTTCACAGTGCCTGCACAATTTTACATTCCCACCAACAGTGTACAAAGGTGTCAATTTCTCTGTATCCTCACGAGCACTTGTTATTCTCTGTTTTGTTTTTTCTTTTCGATAGTGTCATTATTCAAGCATTTTGCCCATTTTTAAAATCAAGTCTCAGTGCTTCCTGGTATTTATTTTAAATGAGCTTTCCAAGTGAGAATTTCTGAATTTTGACCAGCATGACGTAATGCCACTCAGCATGGCTTTTCAGGCTGGTGTCTGGCTAGGAGAAGGATGAGTTAAACTGAGCAAGGCCAAAACTCAGAGTTCAGACAGGGGCAGGGGAATATAGATAGTCCATAGAGAATCATTCCTTTCTTCCTTCATGCAAACATACATGCATATAATCAGGTTTTGTTCCATGCTGCCATGTGCTAGGCACTGCTGCTAGAGGTATCAAAAGTGACACAAAGTGGGACAGGATACCTTTGGGATTCGGAGAGTAGAATCTGCACTTTGACTGCTTGGGTGTGAATTTTCACGCATTACCTATTTAGGAGCATATTTGGACTGGGTTGCATCATAAAGAGCCTTTATCTCATGCTAAAGGGCTTACTTGTAAAGCTGTAAGACTAGGATCCATTAACGGGTTTTAGGTATTGCAAGTTTCAAAGAAAAACCAATGAAATAATCTAAACTTGTAAGAAATTATCATAGAAAGACAGATTTAGAAAACAGAATGGGGAAGAAAATCGCCCTAAAAGGGAAAGCTGTAATGAACACAATTAAATGCTAGGTCTTGGTTCTATGTAGTTGGCTACTCATATGACCTGGCAAAGTCATTTTAACTCTCCAGCGCATGGTTTACTTACATATGAAACAGGGATAACACCTTATAAAACTTAAAAATAATTAAGAAGATGTACTCAAAAGTATATGGCAAGGGGTTTTGTTGTTGTTGTTGTTTCTGTCCCCCGACAGGAGCAGTCTGCTGTGCTTTAAAGGCCATTTTAAAACTTGGTTGGTTTCCTCTACTCACACCATGCTAGCCCCCGCATTTGGGGCTATTTCACCCTTTTGCAAGCTTAGACCTGAGCCAGGGTCTAAGATTCATCGGACTCCAAAATATGCCAGTTTAGGTCTTTTGTGGTGTTTTGTTTGTTTGTTTGTTTTTTTCTGGAAATTTGGCTATTATACATTAAAAAACAAACACACTTGCTTAGACCGTCTGCTCCCCTATTCTCTTATTCCCTTTCACCTCAGCATCACATGTTGGAAAAAAGGGTAAAAGTTTGGATTAATGGATTTAAAGGTTACTGTTACCTTATATTTTTGCCTGTATTGTCACCTGTACTTTTCTAAGTCACCATGATCACACTATAAAGAGTTAAGACACACAATACTCCAGTGAAGGATGGAATGCTAGTTCCAGTTTGATTTTCAATCTTTTTCAGTATTTTCTTTGATGCTGAGTATTCTGTTGAAAATTTTTTCACACTGAAAGATCAGGAGACAGAGTTTTAGGAGAATACACAACCAGGTGTATGCCCTGGACAGTCCATCTTGGAAACACAGATGTTTTGTTCTTTCCAGAAGGGAAGGAAGAGAGCAGCAACTGGCCACCTGGTACTCCTGCAACTCCTCTCTGATCAGGAAGGAAACTGCCTACTGTGGAAAATTAGTTCATTCTCATGGTTTTGGAATATGTTTCTCCATTCATTAATAATATCTTTCTATCAGATTGGGAGGGGGAGAAGCAAGAGAGAAATATACTTTTTGATCTAAAAATTAAAAACTGAAAAGCCTTTGTTTGTTTTTATAAGAAAGAGTGGCAGAATTAGAATGTAGATTTGAAGAAAAATAAGGAAAAATCCATGATTATGTGAATTGATTAATGTGTGTTTCTTTGACTATTTAAATTATTAATATATATGATATCTGACTGCAGAAGACTAGGAGGAAGATTATGTCTTCTCTGATCAAATTATAGCCCTAGCATCTGGCACTGTGGCTGTAGCAGATATTCAATAAACATTTGTTAAGTGAAAGAAGGTAAGGAGGAAGGAAGAAAGGAATGAAATAAATAGGGAAGGAGGAAAGAAGGGAGTGATCAAAGAAGGCAAGAAAGAACGTGTACAGCTGACATGTGATTTCTCTGTTGAAA